GAGAAACAGAAATAGAGTTTAAGACGGACTTTAAGCTCATTACTTGTCAAGTGTTACCAGAGTGGTTTGCTGCAGCAAAAAAGAACGCTAATCTGAAAAAGTCTGATTCGTTCAACCATTTTATAAACTTTTAGATTGCTGTCAATTTCATATGTCATGATTGTTTACATAACATTTTCTGCTTGTTTACATGTGCAAATAGTAATGGAAGTTGAGCTACAGCCCAATAAGTGCAACCTGGGGCAATTCCAGTGGGGATTTTATCATATTTCTGCAGAGATTTGCTGTTAATGTGACACTGATTGGAGGTTAAAAACTTCTAAAGTTATGTTTACATCAACTGATGTAAAAGTTTTTAGATTATAGTTGTTTGAAGACTGCAGTGATTTGCTTCAGTTTAGCTGCTAACTTATTTATTGGTCATAATTCTCCAATCTGAGGTAATCCAGGGAGCCATCTACAGCAGGTAAGATATTAAGGCTTCACAATCTTTCCACAGAACCCCACTTCAAAACATCTGAACTACTCCTTTAAGGTTTTTGATGATCTGGAAATAAAACAGTTTTGACATTTTGACTGAGTAAACTGGAACACCCACTGTTTAAAAGTTATTAATTAACAAAACAAAGATCCACTTAGCTCTATATTTATGCTTTTGAATTCAAATCTCCGAAACAAAACACCATTAATTAACATTTCAACATACTTCTTGTTATCTTTTGCAAGCAGCTGGTGTATTTTGAGAAATACTTCTGCAGAGTGTTTTGCTTCTGTAGATTGCCTTATCGTGTGTCATCACAAAACTACGGAAATACATGAAGCATTACATCACCTCTATGAAACTGGCTCTAAAAGTGTTTTTAAACTGGAACTAAGTCAACATAAAACAAACGGGAACAGCTTGGAAACATGCAAAAAATGACTTCTAGTCACATTCCTGACCCTTTCCTCCTCCACTAAACCACATAAAAAAGTGTTTTTAACGGGCAACCTCAAGTAAACAGAAAACTCTGGTTGGTTGGATGCACTTTAGCTGTTTATAGTAAATAGATTAAGTATGTAGAGTGTGTTTAAAAGTAAAACACAGTTATATAATAAAAATCTCAATGAACCAATCACATAATGTCCTCTGCTCAAATCTATTTAAATCATTTATTAAATCATCTCCTGTCAAATATTCTCTGCTTAATCAGAGTCACTTTAAACTAATAAAGACCTTTATAGCCAGGCCACTAAAACACAGTAAAGCCTAAAGCTTTCGTGTTCTGTTTTGTAGAGTCTTGAGGCCCCAGTACTCTGTGGCGCCAACTTACTGTGCCTCAGCTCTGCTCAGTAACTTCATACATCACGTCTGTCTTTCTGCTGGTGTACTTCATGCAACCAGTGTTTCCATCATCCCTGCAGCAATGCAAACTGTGGGCAACAATCATAAAATTCATGATTTTGGTGTTGGAGTAAGCTTGAGTATAATCCTATGGAAGACAAAACATTTTGCAACTTTATGATTTATTCAATCTTTATTTATTTATACAGGTTAGTCTCAATGAGCCACAAGGACTCATTTACAGGAGACCTGTTTTAAACAAAGAACATGGATGAGGTACAGACATCAATAGACAATCATGTAAAAAGCATAAAAAAATGAAAAGTAAATAGAAGAAATGATATAAAAACGAAACAAAAAACAGCTACATTATAAAGCGATGTAAAATACTCAAAACAAGAACATGTCTGCATTGGTTTTTGCCATGAACTTGATAATTGTTTAAAATCCCTTAGGGTGGTTAAAGTCGACAGCTTCAGGTCTTTTTGCAAAGTGTTCCAGGTTACAGGAGCGGAGTAAGAGATGTTCATTAATAATGTTGGACAAGTTACAAGAAAGTACTTTTAATAATCCTAGAAGGATGTATTCAATATTAATTTATTTTGTTTCTATGTGTTTTGTTTTATGACTTGAAGATTAGAGTGATTAAATATTTTTTGGCAAAACCTGTAATTCACAGGCTTATAACCATTCATTACTTTTAGTGGTGTTTTATGTGGAATTAATGCTAAGAGCTTAAAGAAAACCCTGAAAATTAAAGTAAATTTTAAAGAAAATATGATTACGCCTACAGCTTTTTGATAAAAACAAAAACAACAACAAAAAAAAACCAATAATAAAAAAAAACTTGTTCCTATGTTCCAGTTCAGGGTAGGAAGGTCATCTGTTTGATCACAGCGTGTTTGAGTAAGAAATAAGATACTCTTGAATTGTTTGCCTACTGAACACTTTGAATATACCTTAATGTGTCATCTCAAGTTTTAAGTTCTAATAAAATTGGATAAGAGCTTTAAAAGAATAACCTTTCCACCATCTAGTGTTCAAAGTAAGTACAGTATTATCTTGTTTTGAAGGCGGAAGACGGAGCGAGTAAAACCGGAAGTCATAGATGTTCTTCAAAATAATAAAAGCATCTGACTACCCAACAGCTAAAGAAAAACAATTATATATTATTAATCTTGTTATATATCTAGCCAAATGGCATATTCATAAATGTCTATACACTAATCAAAAACCTCTTATCTCCATTTTTGAAAATGAGGTCAAACAATACATCAAAACTATTAAATATTCCACCAACACGAAGGCCATAAAAACTTACACATTATGTGCTCTCTTCAATATATTTATATGTTATTGTAAATTATTGTCTCAGTGTTTGTAACCCCCTGGCGTCTGTTATATCATTACTGTATACAGCATTGTATTGTATTTTGGATTGTCCAAAATGGCCACATTTTGGACAATCTGACAAAGGGGCTGGGGGGGGGGGGGGGGTTGTTTGGGTTGTTGGTTAGGGTTAGGGTTAGGGTAAGGGACAGGGTTAAGAACAGAGGGACTGAGAGCTCCGTTGTCCTGGCAACAGATGCTGTGCACAGTCCATCACTGCCCTGGAACACTTAGGCAACCGTAGCCCTTAAAACAGGTTCAGAAGGATGTTTGATGTGTTTAATTAAGGGACAGGGTTAAGGTCAGGTGTTTAGGGTTAAAGGTCCTTAAAGGTTGTAGTGGGGGGTGGGTGGGTGGGGGGGGGGTTGAGTTGTTGGTTAGGGTTAGGGTTAGGGTAAGGGACAGGGTTAAGATCAGGTGTCTAAGGGTAGAAGTTAAAGTCTGGATAGAGTCCAGGCAGCGGGAAAAGGTCAGAGATCAGGCAGTGTCAGGGCCAGGGTTTGATCAGGATGTTTTAGGTTAAGGCCCCACGGAGTAAATGTGTCAAGGTTTTTAATCCACATAGACTCTGCTGCCTTTCTTTGTGTTTCTGTCCAGTCTGGGTTCACCTGTAGGACCGTGGATTTGACCGCTGTCCAACCATGTAAAAGGAAATGTTGGATTAGAAATGAGCATGTTTCACCCTCTGTCTGTAAGTTAAATTGGAATTGACAGAGTCTGGTCAAAAGGGCCTGTCTTGTCTCTCCAACAAATTGTTTACCACAGACCTCGCATGTGATCAGGAAAATACAGTTTTTTGACCTTATATTCCCTGTTTTATCAGTCTCAAAAACATGGTGGTTGATTTTATTTTGTACCCATCTGACCTGTTGAAAACAACTTTTGGATATCTTATTGTTGGAAATAATTCTGTTTTTTAATCTAGCATGAACCAAACAATCCTTAAGATTTCTATTTCTCCTAAAAGCTGTTATGACTCTATGGTCCTTCAGCGTTTTATTCTCTTCTTGAAAAATATTAAAATTCTGTTTGACCTTATGGGTCATTTGTTGGGCGTCTGTCCAGTAAATGATCACAAAGGGTACTATTGGGTTGATCAAAGGGGTTTTCTTATCTTGGAAAGTTTTTAAACACCGTCGTAGAAACGATCTTGAGTACCCTCTAGTGGTTAGAGCTGTGAATAGCACCTTAGTGGCCTTAAAGAAGTCTTTATGTTTGTTGTGTACAGATCCTATGAAATCTCAGAAGCTGGGATTTAATCAGACCAGCAAAAGTGTGTTTTGGGTGAAAACTGGATCTGTGAAGTAAAGCCCCTGTGTCAGTTGCCTTTCAATAAGGCAACTGACACAGGGGCTGCAGCCTGATTTTTAACTGGTACAGGCTATAGAGAGCACATCACGCCAGTTTTGGCCTCCCTGCACTGGCTACCCATTCACCTTCGGATCCAATTCAAAATTCTCATGTATGTTTTTAAATCACTGAACAGTTCCGCCCCATCCTATCTCACTGATCTTCTGCAGCCATATGTCCCACCGCGCTCTCTGAGGTCAGCAGACCAGATGCTTCTCTCAGTCCCAGAAACCCGTTGTAAGCTCAGAGGTGACAGGGCTTTCTCTGTTGCAGGTCCACGATTGTGGAATGAGTTGCCACTGAGTGTCCGGCAGGCTCCCACACTCTCAGTCTTTAAGTCTCGCTTGAAGACCCACTTCTATTCGCTTGCCTTTAACACGTTGTGATTTGTTTTGGTCCGGTCTGTTCTCTACTCTGTTGGCCATTTTAGTTAGCTTCTGCTGCTATTTGTATCTGTATTTCTATTTTATGTTTTCCTGTCCGCTGTGCATGTTTGTTTTCTTTTGTACAGCACTTTGGTTGGCCTTGTTGCTGTTTTAAGTGCTCTATAAATAAATTGGTGGTATGGTATGGTATTGCTTTGTACTTTTCAATAAAGATAAAAAAAAAAAAAAAAAAAAGACAAATTAATGAAATTTATTAATTTATTTTAATGTTATTTTATAATTTTAAGTACCCTATCCCATAAATCACTTTATTAATAGACTGCTAGTTTTTAAGATATTTAAAAAAAAATTAAATAAAGGTTGAATGAATGGAAAAATAAATAGGCCAAGACTTTCTTAAATACTCTTATTAACTATTTTCAACATCTCCTGATTCATGCTCAATAATCCATGTAGAAAAAAAATCCAAAAAGTAAAGTTTTGTTCATTCAGATTATATTTCCATCACCGTTTTTAAACCAACATGGTTTTATTTTGAAGCGTCCAGGCGGAAGTTGTGTGACGTAGGTAAGTTGGAGTTAGCCTGCTTCCGCCGCATGTAGCCTTCAGCGGGAGAGCAGCATGGCTTACTGTGCGAAGATAGGACCGTCCATCCTGAGCAGCGACCTGTCCCGTCTGGGCAGCGAGTGTGTGCGGATGATGGGCTGCGGGGCAGATTATCTGCACCTGGACGTCATGGACGGGTCAGTGTATCACCTGCTACAGAACCGAGCCTGCTAACAGCTAGCCATCAGAAGTAGAGCAGAAGGTGGCCAACACCAATAAGCACAATTAACCTGCCAAAGCTTAACTGTGGAATCAGTATGCATATAAATAAAGTTTTAATCTTTATTTAAGGCATTTATTATATTCATGTGTAAGACAGGATTCTTTTTTGTCTAAAAGTCCATTTCCTCTCTGGTAGTTTATGCAAGTCGAGATAATTGCTCAACAGCTGTTTTTGCTTACCTTTTAAAGGCACTTTGTCCCCAATATCACGTTTGGCCATCCAATGGTAGAGTGCCTGAGGAAGTCAGTAGGCCAAGAACCTTTTTTTGGTGAGGGGGGAAAAATTCCAAGCGCATGTTAGTCCCCATAAATAACTTTGTGTCATTTAGCTGTGTGTAAAATGCTGTTTGTGTTGCAGACATGCACATGATGGTGTCCCGGCCAGAGCTGTGGGTGAAGCCCATGGCTGCAGCAGGGGCCAACCAGTACACCTTCCACCTGGAGGCCACAACAAACCCTGGGAACCTCATCAAGGAGATAAGAGAAAGTGGCATGAAGGTGGGAAATGTCTCTCTCCCAAAAGGTTTTACGTTTTTAGATATTGTGCTAACTATATGGCCCTAATTGGAATTGGTGCAATATGCTGCACAGTGGAGCAGTTGCTAAATCTCACTAGGCTGAGACTATTGGAGACGAGCTGGTGAGTCCAAACTGCGGGAAAATTGCACAGTTGCTGTTTCACTGAAGTCTGATATCCAAGTTTTTCAAAATTGTGACCTTATTGGATCTTATTTGGATGGATGAAATAGATGTTTCTAACTAAGCTTATGATGTATAGATACTGCTTCTTGTTTTAACAGCTCAGCTGTTTCATTAGTTGTTTTAGGAGGCAATAAACAAGCCAGATGTATAGCTTTCTGTTGCTCATTAATTTCTTGCAGTATTTCTTCTTCAGTCTTAACTGGATTAGTTTAGATTTTTGTTTTTAGTTCTAAAAGTTTGAATAAATTAATAAGTAAATAAATAACTCATCACTACATTTAAGAAAGTTTCTTGAGCAAAACTATTTAATAGTAACTATTTTTTTTTGTTTGTTTTTCTTAAATACTGATTTGATCTACTTTTTGGGGTCATATGTTGCTACAAGTTAAACTCATTTCCTCAAGAGGTTTGTATTGCATTTTGGTAAACGGTATATGAAACAAATTTGATAGTTTCTGTAGATTTGTATATATTAAACCAAATGTTTGTGTTTTTGCACTATCATCCTTGCATACTACTGTACAAGTACATTGTGTTTATTGGCATCAATCAATGTGTGTGTTCATTCTGTTGAAGTGAAGTTACTCCTTTGAATATGAAGTTAGCAGAATCATGAAAAGGAGCAGCTGTAAAATAACATGTTAGAAGAAGTAATCGCATGTATCAGTACTGTGGGCCTGTTTATTGCTGGGTATCGTGCCTGTAGATATAAAATGAGAATAATAAAAGTTTAATGAACGTTTGAATGGAAGAGATAAAGATCATTGTTTAATTATTTGTTGTGCCTTAGGTGGGTTTGGCCATCAAACCTGGTACTACAGTTGAAGAACTGGCACCGTGGGCTAATCAGGTCGACATGGCTCTGGTCATGACGGTTGAACCTGGTTTTGGAGGACAAAAGTTCCTGGAGGACATGATGCCAAAGGTAAGAACAAACCACAGAAGAAAAACAGAACAGCAACAACATAACATAGATTGATAAAGAAATGTATACAATTTAGCATCAGAGTTAGTGCGCATTGTGGATCTCAATATTTATGAAATAATACGCAGTCCTCCATAACTTAAAAAAAAAAACTACACAAATTAAAGCACATTGTGAAACATTTGACAACCAAAACAGATTGCATTTTTGATGTTAAACTATAGAATGAGAGATTTGCATCAATAAAAAGTAAGAATATGAAAATTATTAAAT